TTACAGCATCTTTCCACGGTTTGGGGAAACAACCTTCTACAAGAGATCGATGGTAAATGATATGCAAGGATCTTGTTAAGTTAGTAGCACAGTTTTCGATAAATATTGGACGAATATCATCGCTTCCTGCTCCTTTATTGGAATCAAGAGTTTTTAAACACTTTTCTATTCTATCACTAGTTATGTTTATCTGAGCTAATGTTACAGTTGCATGAGATATACTTTCATCAACCAAAACAACATCACTAGCCGATTCATACGCTAAAGCAAAATTGTCTGCAAAATATTGGTAATGCTGTCACCGTCTCTAGCAACTCTGTCTCCGAATTTCATGACTGATGGTATGTCACTCCTTACTTTACGTTTATTCTTTATATAAGCCCAAAAGTATTTTGGATTTTTAACAACATTACTGAAAACTTTTTCTATGTAACTACTGTAGCATTTTTTTATCATGGTCGACGTTCGTTCTTTCAATATATTATATTCCAATTCATCTAAGCCATTTTTAAATTTTTTGTACTTTTGGCGAGCTTTTTCCTTTTCACGCAACAAACGAATGAGGTTGTAGGAAAACCATGGTGGATATTTCTTAATATTACGTTTCCTGATGGGCATATATTCGGTAATAATTTGATTTAAAATATTGTAAAATTTAGATACAGCGTCAGTCCACTTCGTTCAAACGATTTCTTATTATCCCATAATCTGCTAGAAAGAAGTTGTACCTAGGTATAAATTTGGGAGGCAGTAGTCGAGGCCCCCGCACAGATAAAAGCACTTGCAAAGGGGGATGATATAAGTCTATTCGAGAAATTATATTTTGTGACTCTTGCACTATAATACCACATCTAGAATTACTTAATACTAAATCGAGTATTTTATGTTGATGGTTCAATACATGGTTGAACTGTCTCAGATCATAAGCAGAGAAAAAGTCAACAAGGTCACGGGCGATAGTGCTGTCATAATTAGTAAGTCTTAAAAATGCATCCGCAGTGGGAGACCAGACAATATCTCGCTGGTTAAAGTCACCAAACAAAAGCACGTCATCATCCAAGTTATCTATAACGCTACTACATTTATCTAAAAACTGCTCAAGATGAGTACGTTTAAGAGGGGACGTTAAATAAACACAGCATAGGTGTAGCTTGGTAGTATCCAAAATTAAAGTTATCCATAAATCCTCACAGCGACTTTCGAAAGTGTAATTTCTATATGCATGGATAGACTTCTTAACGGCAATGAGTACACCTCCACCATCAGCAGCAATTTTGATGATCTGTCTCTCCTAAAAACCTGATAACGGTCGTCAAAAATGTCGCTGTCGTATATACCATAGTTGAGCCAAGTCTCCGTTAATACAATCGAATCAAAATCATTAACACTAACTTCAAGAAAAATGTCATTTAATTTTGTCCGCATGCCGCGAATATTTTGATAATAAATGGAAAAATTGAACTTTAATCCTAAAAGCACTAATCACTTTTTGAAATAGTAATATCTAATACTAATTAAACTAAAGACTTTAAAAATCTTGATGCAATACCAACTTTGCTGGGTGTTCGTCGTCCTTTCTTAGAAAGATTTTTCCATTTCTGACCCATACATATTTTAATTTAGTTCTTTGGCCCATATTCTTGTTATTACGTGGAGTGATTTGTTACCTTGTGTTAGATGCTCGGAGATGTAGACCGGTGACTCCTTGTCACCATAACCTAGTAGTTTTGTGTTTAACTTTTCATTGGGATGGGATCTGTTGTACTTATATACAGCTGCAAGTAGATTGTCACGTTTCAGCTTATTAACGAGTCTACATAGTTTTAGGCAAATTCGACGTCTTGTTTTACTTTACACGATTACAAGATAAACATCAGTTTCAGATAGAGAAAAACCTATCACTTTGCCAATTTGCATCATTGCATTAATCAGGTTTTCTTGTTTATGCTCTGGAAGACAGTGGATTTCTACGTTATTCTGCCGGGAATCTTGTTCCATTACTAACAATCTTGATTCTAGGTCTTTAACTTTGCGATGGAGCAATTCACTTTCAGTACGGAGTTGCTTGGTATCTTGCATGTAGGCCTCTACTTTAGTCTTCATATCCTCAAATTTGGCATTAATGTAGCTTAAAGAATCCTCAAAGCTGCGCATCTCTTTTCTCAAGGATGAGAACTCTTCTCTAATTGCATCCCTTACTACAACATGTAGCTCTCCTTGCATGATGGTTCTCATATTTAAGCGTAAATTTTCCGAATTATTATAAGTGTTGCCACTCTTCCGTGCGTTTGTATTGACGTTACATATTTCGTCAGTAGAACTTGCAGCTGTCATCGTAGAACTCTTAAATGGTGTGTCATTATTCTTTGTCTGCCGCTGCGCAGATAACATTTCTATAGAACAATCAGGACATTTCCAGTTCGACTTCCTTTTAAAGTTCGCCCTGGTAAGATTTACATACAGATAATGAAACTGCTTTTTACAGCGGGGTTGAGTACATGTGATTTTTTCACATGTACACATGGGTGTTATTACAACCGCTACAAATATTATTACTCATTTTATTTACCTTTAGAAGCAAAAATTTTTGAAAATCTTCAGTACGTTTAAACGCAGCACAATAATGGTCGAGTAGCCGGCCAGCGACTCAACGCGGCACGGTAACGAGTTGTATGCGCGATGTCTCCGAATGAGCCGATGACTCACCCACCGGTCGCCGAGTGAAGCGATGCAGCGAGCAGCGAGTGTTAAAATGTTCGTTAACAAAAATTTTCAAAATGTTTTCGATTATAACTTTATATTCCTCTTGTTTATCACGATACGGTTTTCACTTTTTTGTTCGTAGATGTGTAGGCTACAAAAGTATAATAAACAAAGCACCAGATATTAAGAGTTTACTATGGTAGGGAAAATAATTTCACGGAGCAAAACAATATACGTCTTTCCGTCTTCGCGTTAAACAGACATGTGGTTGGTTTGCTGATTATATTGTTTTAGATTTTCTTATTTTTTGAAACTGTGGCGAAAAGAATCCATTAAGTGCACTGACCTCTATATATACAAGTACGCTGAACTGGCTATAATTTCAGTGCCACCGCTGCCAACTTTATGGGAATGCGGCGGCCAACTGCCCCCCCCCCCCTCCAGGTGCGTTAAGTGCCTTGAGCTGCACAGTTCGAAAGAGTGGCCTCGGCCCCGTGATGCCGAATCCCCACCCACGTGCGTTCTCTGCCATCAGTCTGGCCACCTGGCAAACTTCAGAGGCTGTCCTCGCACTCCTCACCCCCGTCCTACCAAAGCTGCCAAAAACAGCTCCTCCACCTGTCAATGACAGCTCATTCCCGGCTCTCCCATCCAAAATGTCCCGTAAGGGCTATTCTCAATCCCCTCAGGGCCCTATCGGCCCTTTCAGAGCCCCTAACGGCCCCCTCAGGGCTCCTGTCGGCCTCCTGAGTGCTTCTATCAGACCCTCCGGGTCTTTTACCCCCAAACTAAAGGCAACAAGTGTAGTAAGATCCTCTGATGATTACTTTGTGGTTACAAGGCACAAATTTGTTAAATCTGTTTGTCTAAAATATATAACAAAATTATATCAAGGGAATAAATATATATTGGGACCGCAAAATTATTAATACTCTTACTGAATTTGCGTGAGTTTAGGTGAGAAAGAGCTCCTCCCTTAACGGGTTCCCACCTTTTAACCGCGGATTGGTAACCCATGCTAAAAGTAGAAGACTCACATGGCTGGCCGGAGGTGGTTAATCAGCCGGGCTAGCATGAGCAGGGGATAAAAATTTTATCCACCGATTATATCCACTGACAAGGGATAAAATTGTCTTATCCATATGTCAAAGCTTTATCCACCCTGCGAGCATGGGCCTATGGTGGATATAATATCGACAGTAGATAAACTTATCCCCGCGCATAGATAATATACGATAGCAAAGATGTTTTATAAAACATCTTTGTACGATAGTATAAAGCTATAAACTATACTAGCTATAAACTTCTTTTAAGATTAAGTAGATTTACATTAACTTATATTTTCTTTTTACCTTTTGTTTATTATATTGCTAAACTGTTAATAATTTTTGTTAAACAATATGTCATTTATAATATTTGTTATATTTATTTTAAGCGTATTTCTAACTCGTTTTTATATTTTCTATTATTCTAATTCTTACTTTATTTTTTTTTGTATAATATTTAATTTAAGTATACATTGCTTGTATCAAAGCGCAGGTATTACTTCGCTTGTAATAGCATTTATTAAAAATATGTGTCTAGAATTAAGCCAATTGTGAAACTGGACAATACAGACCCTTTGGAGGTGGTGTAACCTCTTGAAGAAATAAAAAAAAAATATCCCCGCAATTACTGCCATTATAAGAAAATTACAAAATACATCAAAATTGATGTCTACTCTAAGTCACAAAGATTTAATTTTAGTTGAAAATGATGAAGCATGAAGAATAAAAATGTAATGATTTCAAACAAAACAAGGAATAAATAATTTTATAATCATGAGTATAGTATATTTAGCAAGCTTTGCTAAAGAATTAACATATTTCTTAATTTAAACCTTTGAATTGTAACTTTACTAAGTTTGATAACTTTATTTTAAAATGTTATAATACTTACCTAAAATATAGTATCGACCGATTCTATTGTTACGAGCTTGAGGTTCGTGACAATAAAAATTGCCGATAAAATTACCTAAATTAACACTTTAATTTACTTTACACAATTAAAGTTAAAACACTAATAATTTAAACACACTAATTTACTTAATTCCACTCCGAAGCTTCGCTTGTTTCGCCCAAATCAACACTAACTCGATCGCATCTTGCAGCGCCTATATATTTAAATTAGCAAAGAAATATCCAGAATGTTCAAGTAAACACGGGCAAGGTACCGAGCGTTCGAGTTTCGACTAGGCGCTGTCAGTTGACTGATTTGTGATGTCATTTTCTCAATGCTCCCCTCGCTCGTTCCTGACACTAGATGGCGCTAGTGTATTGTCGATTTGAGCGCGTAACACTGCCCCCTCCTAAGACATGCTCGTCCCGAGCATTATCGGCCCCATAATAACGCGCTAGGCGATCCACATGGACGACTTCGGACGACGACGACGGACGACCTTCCCTTCCTAGGGTGTGCTTGGGGCAGCTGGACCGAATATGGCCCCTTTCCCCACAACCATAGCACCTGGGGCTGTATCCTTTATTGTGGTCGCGAACCGTAACTGCGGCAACCACCCTAGCGCTAGGGGAACGACGATCCTGCCACCGCCAGGCGGTGCCGTTAGCTGCACGACCCTCTCGAGATCGATCAACTCTCCTTTCCACGGTTCGCTTAGGGCAGCTGGATCGAAGATGGCCCTTTTGCCCACAGCCATAGCACCTTGGGCTGTATCCTTTGTTGCGGTCGCGAACTGTAGCTGCTGCAACCTCCCTGACGCGATGGGAACGATGATCCTGCCGCACGGCTTCCACCTCCAGTGCATGGGCCAAGGCGTTCTTAAGCGTCTCGTGGTGCCCGAGCCTCACAGCAGCTCTGACTTCCAGGTCACGGATGCTGTCGATGAATGTCTGCACCAGGTTCCCTTCTATGAGCGCAGGTACAGACCGGTATGCTTTTCGCACCAGCTTCTCCACCTCTAGAGCCCACTGCTGCAGGTTTTCGTTGATGCGCTGCACACGATCTTTAAGCTGCGCGCGAAAGACATGTTCCAGATGAGCGTCGCCATATCTCGCTTCCAAGGCCTCAAGAAGCTGCTCATAGGTCACTTTCTTACCGAGAGCTTCCAACACAGTTAAGGCTTGGTCGCGCAGGCCTAGGGTGAGTGCAGTCATGGCTTGGCTTTTATTCCAGCCGTTCGCCTCCATGACGGCCTCGAACTGGATTTTGTAGGCCGACCAGGAAGAGGTACCGTCGAACGGTGGCACCTTGAACCCACGTAGCGAAGGTGTTGTAGCTACTACGGGAGCTGTAGCTCCATCTCCAAGTTTGAGTTCGTCCAGTGATTTCTTCATGTCAGCCATTACGTTGTCAACCCGATTGTTCACTTGGTCGATTCGGGTTTCAGCTTTCGCGATTTGGGTTTCAGCTTCCGACAGGCGGTTGTCATGCTGAGCAACCCTATCCTTCACCTCCCTTATCTCTTTCCCGAAGGTAGCGTGAAGGTCCTTCATGAGAAGCATCTGCTCTTCCAACCGACGGGCCTGTTCCTCTTGTCGGCGGGCCTGTTCATCCTGTCCGCCCCGCAGCTGCTCTTCCAATCGGCGTGCCTGTTCCGCCTGCTGGCGAGCCTGTTCCTGCAGCATCACCATCAGAGCACCTAAGTCAGGTGCTGCAGATGTAGGAGCTACCGACGGGCCTGCAGCCGGTGGCTGGTCCTCCGACGTCTGCGGCGTTGCACCACCAAATCTTCGTTGGTCCGTCTCCTGCTGGCGTTGACTTCGGGTACGGACACCCTCCGTTTCCTCCTTAGGTAAAATCGGCATGATTTTATCCCACTTCTGACACCAATTGTTACGAGCTTGAGGTTCGTGACAATAAAAATTGCCGATAAAATTACCTAAATTAACACTTTAATTTACTTTACACAATTAAAGTTAAAACACTAATAATTTAAACACACTAATTTACTTAATTCCACTCCGAAGCTTCGCTTGTTTCGCCCAAATCAACACTAACTCGATCGCATCTTGCAGCGCCTATATATTTAAATTAGCAAAGAAATATCCAGAATGTTCAAGTAAACACGGGCAAGGTACCGAGCGTTCGAGTTTCGACTAGGCGCTGTCAGTTGAGTGATTTGTGATGTCATTTTCTCAACGCTCCCCTCGCTCGTTCCTGACACTAGATGGCGCTAGTGTATTGTCGATTTGAGCGCGTAACACTATTATCATTAAATTTGACTTGACCATGGACTCGCCTTGGGTATTGTTGACACAACCTATGTAATTAAATCATGGCATTGAGCTATTGTGACTTTTTTGGACAAGGTGGTTGTAATAGATGCTTACTTCAATATGCACTGGTAGTACATCCACAGAATTAATAGGCTTTAAAGCCTCATAGAGTTCTTTACACAAATACAAAACAATCTTTGAGCATCCGAAACCGGCGTAGAAATTCGTTGTCGGAGAATTCCAATAGATTAAGTGTTCTGATCACGTATCGATCGCTGATGTAATTCTCTTTCTTGTTTTTCAATTTCTGACACTAAAATGTCGTTGCAATAGGCTCGAGACATCTTTTTTGTATTAAAATGATTTGAAGATAAACTTAAACTCACGTCCGCGAAAGGGGATAAAATTGTCCCTTTCAAATGTCAAAAAGGGATAATTTTTTCTCTTTCTCTTGGCCCCATGCTACGGACGGGGAGATATATGTCCACTCGTTATTTCAAACGGGGATATACTATAGAGATAAGATAATTTTATCTCTTGTCAGTGGATATAATCGGGGGGATATAATTTTTGTCTCTTGCCCATGCTCGCATGGTGGATAAAACTAAGCAAGGGATAAAAATTATATCCTCTCTCCGGGGATATATTCTCTCCGGCTCATGCTAGCCCGGCTGAGTGGACTTGACTAGCCTTTGGGTGTGTGTTAGTGAGCGGCAGCTAGAGAAAATTACTCTCCCTGTACCGCTGCGGTCGAGGTGGAGTCATAAAGGAAAAGAAGTGTTGGTATGACGATTGGCGATGTGCCACTTGACTATCCTCAGTCGTGGTTCTTCACTGCTGGCCGTATGAGGAAGCACAAAGTCGCTCATCGAGTTATGGAGAGGGCTATGCTCGAGGTTTTTCCGCGTGATAAACTTAGGAATGAGGATATTCGAAGTAGAACCAGAGTGACCGACATCGCCAACAGATTAGTAAGCTGAAGTGGCAATCGGCTGGCCATATAACTCGAAGAACCCATAACCGATGGGGAAGAAAGTTTCTCAAGTAGCAGCCTCGTAGCGACATGTGTATGTCCTCCACTAGATGGAGTGACAACCTGGTAAGACATGCAGGAAGTTGAAAGATGCAGGTGACTCAGGACTGTGCTTGGTGGCATTTCTTAGAGCAGGCTTATCTTCAGCAGTGGAATTATGAAGAGTTGTAATAATTATGAATGATGATGGCATTATAATAATGTGATACATCAGTAAAATAGACGTTACGGGTAGAAGACTACCCGTAACGTCCATTGTATTTATTGGGGCATAGGTTAGAGTATAGAATTTTTGTCGATGTATTTTATCACACTGTCTTATCCCTATTATTAGTTCCGTGGACGTTCACTTCTGCTGTCATCGCAAAAATGGTGCAAATCAAATCGCCTCATTATGTCACGGAGTATAGTCAGTTCATATACAGAGGTCAGTGATTAAGTGATATTTGGAAAAGTTAAACGGAAAGAAGCTATCTTGAATTTCTCTCGATTTCACTTCTTTACGTCACTAAAAAGGTAAATATTTTATCATAGACTGTAACCACAAAGTAATCATCAGAGGACCTTACTACACTTGTTGCATTTAGTTTGGGGGTAAAAGACCCGGAGGGTCTGATAGAAGCACTCAGGAGGCCGACAGGAGCCCTGAGGGGGCCGTTAGGGGCTCTGAAAGGGCCGATAGGGCCTTGAGGGGATTGAGAATAGTCCTTACGGGGCATTTTGGATGGGAGAGCCGGGAATGAGCTGTCATTGACAGGTGGAGGAGCTGTTTTTGGCAGCTTTGGTAGGACGGGGGTGAGGAGTGCGAGGACAGCCTCTGAAGTTTGCCAGGTGGCTAGACTGATGGCAGAGAACGCACGTGGGTGGGCATCACGGGGCCGAGGCCACTCTTTCGAACTGTGCAGCTCAAGGCACTTAACGCACCTGGAGGAGGGGGGGCAGTTGGCCGCCGCATTCCCATAAAGTTGGCAGCGGTGGCACTGAAATTATAGCCAGTTCAGCGTACTTGTATATATAGAGGTCAGTGCACTTAATGGATTCTTTTCGCCACAGTTTCAAAAAATAAGAAAATCTAAAACAATATAATCAGCAAACCAACCACATGTCTGTTTAACGCGAAGACGGAAAGACGTATATTGTTTTGCTCCGTGAAATTATTTTCCCTACCATAGTAAACTCTTAATATCTGGTGCTTTGTTTATTATACTTTTGTAGCCTACACATCTACGAACAAAAAAGTGAAAACCGTATCGTGATAAACAAGAGGAATATAAAGTTATAATCGAAAACATTTTGAAAATTTTTGTTAACGAACATTTTAACACTCGCTGCTCGCTGCATCGCTTCACTCGGCGACCGGTAGGTGAGTCATCGGCTCATTCGGAGACATCGCGCATACAACTCGTTACCGTGCCGCGTTGAGTCGCTGGCCGGCTACTCGACCATTATTGTGCTGCGTTTAAACGTACTGAAGATTTTCAAAAATTTTTGCTTCTAAAGGTAAATAAAATGAGTAATAATATTTGTAGCGGTTGTAATAACACCCATGTGTACATGTGAAAAAATCACATGTACTCAACCCCACTGTAAAAAGCAGTTTCATTATCTGTATGTAAATCTTACCAGGGCGAACTTTAAAAGGAAGTCGAACTGGAAATGTCCTGATTGTTCTATAGAAATGTTATCTGCGCAGCGGCAGACAAAGAATAATTACACACCATTTAAGAGTTCTACGACGACAGCTGCAAGTCCTACTGACGAAATATGTAACGTCAATACAAACGCACGGAAGAGTGGCAACACTTATAATAATTCGGAAAATTTACGCTTAAATATGAGAACCATCATGCAAGGAGAGCTACATGTTGTAGTAAGGGATGCAATTAGAGAAGAGTTCTCATCCTTGAGAAAAGAGATGCGCAGCTTTGAGGATTCTTTAAGCTACATTAATGCCAAATTTGAGGATATGAAGACTAAAGTAGAGGCCTACATGCAAGATACCAAGCAACTCCGTACTGAAAGTGAATTGCTCCATCGCAAAGTTAAAGACCTAGAATCAAGATTGTTAGTAATGGAACAAGATTCCCGGCAGAATAACATAGAAATCCACTGTCTTCCAGAGCATAAACAAGAAAACCTGATTAATGCAATGATGCAAATTGGCAAAGTGATAGGTTTTTCTCTATCTGAAACTGATGTTTTATCTTGTAATCGTGTAAAGTAAAACAAGACGTCGAATTTGCCTAAAACTATGTAGACTCGTTAATAAGCTGAAACGTGACAATCTACTTGCAGCTGTATATAAGTACAACAGATCCCATCCCAATGAAAAGTTAAACACAAAACTACTAGGTTATGGTGACAAGGAGTCACCGGTCTACATCTCCGAGCATCTAACACAAGGTAACAAATCACTCCACGTAATAACAAGAATATGGGCCAAAGAACTAAATTCAAATATGTATGGGTGAGAAATGGAAAAATCTTTCTAAGAAAGGACGACGAACACCCAGCAAAGTTGTTATTGCATCAGGATTTTTAAAGTCTTTAGTTTAATTAGTATTAGATATTACTATTTCAAAAAGTGATTAGTGCTTTTAGGATTAAAGTTCAATTTTTCCATTTATTATCAAAATATTCGCGGCATGCGGACAAAATTAAATGACATTTTTCTTGAAGTTAGTGTTAATGATTTTGATTCGATTGTATTAACGGAGACTTGGCTCAACTATGGTATATACGACAGCGACATTTTTGACGACCGTTATCAGGTTTTTAGGAGAGACAGATCATCAAAATTGCTGCTGATGGTGGAGGTGTACTCATTGCCGTTAAGAAGTCTATCCATGCATATAGAAATTACACTTTTGAAAGTCGCTGTGAGGATTTATGGATAACTTTAATTTTGGATACTACCAAGCTACACCTATGCTGTATT